CCCCAAAACCCCAAAACCCCAAAACCCCAAAACCCCGTGTTAAAGATCTACTCTACATATTACATTAATTAAAGTTAAATTAGATCACAGAAAGAAGGGGAGTTTGTGCATATCTACGACAGCTGGTATGTTACCAACTTCTGTTCTGTACATAGCAAGTTTATCAGCAAGCATGCATGGTGCGGGAACTTTAATTGAGTCAGGCCAGTTATAGTAACCATAGCACAGTGCATATGTGAAGTTTATTATTGCAGCTTTAGGGATCTTTGAATTATTCTCTCCAACATAAAAATGAGTGGGTTTGACTGCACCTTGAGTTGCCTAGTGAGGTACCAAAAAGAAATCGAATTTGCCATTTATTACCTCTGACTATTCCACAAAACCCTAGTCAACACAGGTACCAGCAGGTGGGTTTTGAATGCTATTACCTTGCATTTAAAAGAATCTTTATCTAACACGCTTATTAACAAAGATTAGAGTAAGAGTTGGTTCGTTGACTTTGCCATCAGCATCTTTAAAGTAATTCTGAAACGTCTTTCTAAGTTATACTATTTCTTCGTCAATTACTATCTATCTAGTTGCATCACCAACACCATCTCTATAAATAAATATGTGCTCTGGCAGGGTTCCGTTATTGAATTCCTTATAAGCATCAAAAGACCCAGAAAAATATTCAGCTAAAATGCTGGAAGAAATAATTTCTTATCCTTTTACAGGTTAAGGACTAGCTTGAGTATAATATTTGCAGAGATATTTATCATATGTGGCTACAAATCCAATAACACTCTACCTTCCTTTATGACAAACATCAATTCCAAATACCATAGTTCTTTCTGGAATCTCTTCACTAAACTTCATTCTCCATAAATCTCCTCCAAGCTTTGCATTAATTTACCTGAGAATATTCATATAGACTCTGTCTTTGTATAAGCTTAATGTCTTGACTGTAACGAATTGAGAGATGACTGGATAGCTTGAGTTTATAATATTTTTCAAAGCAATGTAGAATTTTTCTTTTTTTACGAATTCTGGTATAATTACAAGGAAAAACTAAACTTTATTATTGCTTATAGGGATTGAAGCTTTTTTAGCAGGATCATATTTCAGATACTCTTTGAAATATGATCTAATAGCATCTTTATAATCTTCTATTGTTGACTAATTATTCAAGGAAACTATATCACCATACTCAACAAATATATTGAGATTGTTTTGATTTGATATTTGATAAAACTTGTCTTAAACCATCTAAGCATACTAGAGATCTCTCTCGGCGCAGAATATTGCCCATTTTTCTAAGTCTATTGGTTGATGAACAATTGTTCTTAAGACACTATTATCGGCATGTTGGCTTTGCTGACTTTCTATGTTATCATAGATTAAAGGTCTTTTCAAAACTTGGGCGTCTATCTAATCAGATTACTAACTTATTTCAAGGTTCCAATCTTTTAGATCTTTTTATAGTGAAAGTTTTTTGCTCAGAGATTCAAGATTTTATAATCTCTCTGCAGGTTCCTAAAATATCTTTTTCCTAATCTCAATTTAAACTCTCATGTCATTTCTTACACTTGGAGGTAGTCCAACCATAATACATAACTCTGGTGGTAGAAATATGGATTGTCGCTTTTATTTAATTTCTAGCAATGGTTGATTAGCATATGTTAATGGTGTACCATAAGCCTTAATCAAGTATTCAAGCATACTAGATCTTTTATTGTCTTCTCCACTATTGAAATAATAGGTTTTAGGCGATAAATCCCATCTGATTCGTTAGACTTTATATGTTCTTCTCTGTCCATAGCAAACCATTACAATGCTTCCTTCAAATTCTCTGCTAATGTATTCTTGACTTTCATGCTTAGCAAGCATTTCATCAATAATTGAGTAGCAGTTATCATTTGAAAGATATTTGGAGATATTATCAATGATCAAATACAGCCCACTCTAAAATATCCAAGAAGAGGTAAAGAATCCTGGCCATATTTGAACTTGCTTATGAAATTTACTCTTGTCTGGGTCGAAAAATCTTGGAGTCCTCCCAATTTAGACAAGATTTGAACTTCTCAAGCAGCTCTTTATTATATTGTTGATAAATCCAAGAGCAACTGGATGATCCTCCATTTTCAACTTTCCAAGATCATCAAACATAAATTCAGAAACTTTCTTAAAAACTATTGTATATTACCTTCCCAGGAAAGGTTTTTAAGTTTCAACAGATATTTCCTCTTCAATTAAAGCTGTAGAAAACATATTAGTGCCTATGAACACATGATTACCGAATATCTTCCTAAGTGACTCTCTCTGGATTGCCATAATTTTGAATCTTTAATAGTTCTCTAGGTTACCCACAGTAGTTAAGTCGGTTGATTAAGATATTTTTGATAAACTCATATTAGCTTCATCTTCCTTCAATTTTTGTAAATCTTATTCTGATAGTGTGAATGCGCTCTTTCCACCGACTATCGCTCCTGGTATAAAATCAACTGAATAGGTATAGATAACTCCATGATCCTTATGCCTTGTGATCTTGAAGTTATTGGTAATAAGTTTTATTGGATATTATTAATATTGCTAAGAGATATTAGATCTCTATGGGCCTTGAAAGCCGCCTCTTTATTGCTATTAAAAGCCACCTTATCTGTATGGTTAGCCCCTTTTAAAGTCCATTTATATTCTGTACAAATTATATTCTAAAGTCTAATAGCAATGACAAATAGAATTGATGGGGTTTTGGGGTTTTGGGGTTTTGGGG